TACACTCTCATGCAGTTGCAGCTTCCGGTTTCTGTAAGCAGGCGACCTCTGATCCCACGCTAAGCCTCTGTCGCTTAGTGGTAATCTTACCCAAATAGTATTAGTTTCTGTCAGCGATGCGTCGTCTTCCAAATTCTCAGACCAATCAACGCATCACATTTACATGCTTTAACTATCTTTGGACAAGCGTACACCAGGCGGGTCCGTGTCCTGCGTGGGATGACAATTGAGCCGCGTGCGCAAAGCGGAAGCTGCAAGTGCATGAGAGTGTAACGAGATCTGCCCCCGACATTTTGAGATTTGTCCCTAACCGAGGCACCGAATTGCTTTGTATCCACACGACTATCACGTTGTTTTATCACAGCTTAGCGTCGTGCTGCGTACGCCGACTCCACCAGCGCAAGAGACTATTACCTGAGAGCCGAAAACGCCGCGCAACGCGCTCGAAATGGAGGCGCAGGCTACGCTTATTCGAGACCGCATGCAAATCCAGCAAGGGTCTCCTACAACTTCCCTCAAGGAGCTCAGCAGATAGCTCACAATAGGGTGCTTGTGCACGAGAAACTTGATCGCCTTGAAGCCACAATTAATGAAGCAACAAAGCGAAAAACTCGCAAGCGGCGCTACGTACAGGCAGAAAGGTCCTAGACAGTTAGTCAGATAGCTAAACAGATCGCTAAGGCAGAGGGTGGCAGCTGTAATAAGGGTGCAACGCCTACGAAGAGAGTGCGCAGTGAACGGCGCTGCGGGCGTTGCAGCCAAATTGGACACAAGTCCCGTACGTGCCAAGTAGATTTAGAGGGTAACTATAGAGGATAGCGACGCGTCTGAAGAATAATTTCCTGTTCTACTTAATAAGAAAAATCGTAGTTAGTAGTGTTGCGCAATACTATTACAAAGATGAGGTACGAGGACTTCGTGGGGCGCACACTGGTGAAACACGTTAACTAGTTAGTAGTTAGTTAAGAAAGTACAATTTGAATTGACCACAACCAGAGTAACAATGAAATCCATCCATCCTTATATCCTCATTGCTTCCAGTCCTGCCATCTGGCCAAGGCACTGGTATCTCTGATGTCGCTAGCATTTAGAGATGGTACCGGCATCTTTGGAGGACCTGGCATCTCGAGATGTCTGGCCTTGGCGAGATGCCAATCACGTGATCGTCGCCCCGCGATGACCATTACCTTCTGACGTGAACTTCCATAGGCCCTCAGCCATCTCGTCACTTGTCAAGGGGAGAATCTTTCCTGTTACTTGTAACACCCCAACGGTTTCATATGGAAAATTTCAAGAAATTGGCCGTGCATTGCACAGCCCGCCCACCCCAAGGGAAATGCCCCCACCCCAAGGGCAATAAAATGCTTTAGTCGCAAACTTTGGTGTAACTACTTATATCAGAATTTTAGACAGGATAACGTACTACTTCTTAAAGCTATATTTTAAGATGCTCTCTAGTCATTTTGACTACAGCCACTATATACGTCGCTGTTGTACTTAGTCGCGATTATGGTCACTGCTGCCCGCGCAGCTACCTCTGCTGCCTCTGTATTATCAGTTACGAGTACGCTCTCGTTATACTTAACTCTGCGATCCTCTTGTGCGCGCTACAATTTATATTGCGCCTTGGTGTTATAATTATGGTCGTTGACGGCGTACTGCCAGCGCGTAACACCACACATTGTTATGACGCTACTAGCTGCGCGCTTAAGGTATTTCTTGCCCTGATTCCGTATTGTAGGCCGTATACGCTTCCATTTATTAGCAATGATTGTTACCTCACGAAGTGATCTTGCAGCAAGCTCTTGCTCTAAGCGGGGGACGTCGTTAATCTGGCGGCGTTGTACTATTGAGCGCGCGTCTTGCGAGTAGATAGGTCCCCCGCCCGCTTCAAGAGCACGGCGTTTACGGCGACGGCGCTCGCCTTTAGCAAGTTGCGCTGCCTCTGTATGGTGTAGCTCGCGCTGTAAGCCCCCTGCGATGCGCGCAATTGCTGAGACACCACGTTGGTGTTTAATAACGCTAGCAGCGACGTCGCGTGGGAGGTGCTTACGAAGCACAGTGTAGATGAAGGGCTCTTGCGCTTGAATCTGGCGAATGGTTTTTGGTGTAGCCCATGCAGTGTCGCCAGGTCGTGGGTTCTCTGGCTTTGGTGTTGTGTCCCAGTCAAGCTCATCGCGCTCAATTGCTCACCCTGTAGCGCTACCCGAACTTGTGTGAAGCGTTGTAGCGGTAGTAGGCATGACGGAGATGAGCCTAAAGACAGCGAAGAACTTTGTACGTACGGTGTCTGTCGCAACTGAGCTGGTGATGGTGTAGCGCGCTCGTACTCGCTGTATAGTGGTGCGCGTGAAGGTAAGACGCCGGATCTCAGCAAGAGTCGCTAGAAAGTCTGCCTTGTTAATATCTTTTGAGCCAGTGCGAGACGCCCACTCTAAGCAGCGGCCGTGGTACCACTTGAGTGGTTGAAAGCAGCCAACGTCAAGCGGTTGGAGGAGGTGTGTAGTGTGCGGTGGCAGCGCAAAGAGCTGTATATACTACTGCTCAGCGTATTCGATAAACTCTCTAGTTGAGTGAGAGCCGTGTCCGTCTACTAGTAGTAACCGCCATGCGCCAGTAGACCGCTGCTTCGTCCGGCGATCAAAGTGCTTCAACCAGGCAAGCGCAAGCTGATCGTTGCTATAGCCACTCTCTGAGATTGCAATAAGGTAGTTATCAGGCAGATCAACTACCCACTGCTCCATAATCGTTGCCGCTTTAATAATAACCATTGGCTCAATTGCAAAGCCAGTAGAACAGACGCATTCAACAAGAGTAATAAGCTCGCGGTTATTGGCGTGGGCAACAAAGACTTGCCGGCCGCCAACACTGTATACATACTGGCTGCTTGCAACGCCAATCCGACAACCAGTCTCATCCATATTGTACATATCGTCAGGTTGTACGCCAAGCTGCTCTATAGTAGCTTGAAGCTGCTCGAACCACTGGCGTAACGCGTCAGGCTGTTGCGCCAGCATACGCTGTACTTCCATCGGCTTGCTCCTAACGCGGCGGTACTTTTGATGCCTCTGTAGCCAGCGTCGCGCCCAGTTATGACCTAGTGGCGGCGGTGATTCGTCTGGTCCCATGTACGACTCTTGAAGCAACGCGTAGGCTTGTTGCGCGATCACGTGGTGGTGTATACCAAAGCCAATAGCATTGATTGCGTCAAGATAGCGCTCAAGAGCAAGATCTTGGGCGTCATTCAGCCGGTGATTGGTTGGCTTTTTATTGCTGCGCGTAGACGCGTTGTTATAGGCACAGAGGAGACGTTTATAGCTTAAGTTGTGGACTTTGCGTAAGAGCTGATGTTTGGCTTGAGGTGACTATGAAGCTTTGCCGCGTGCTCTTTGTATAACGCCACCTCTTTTCTATACTTTGAAGCTGAAGAATTACTCTTTGGCATATTGCGAAACTTTCTGCTAAAGTAGATTCTGATTATCTAATGTTGTGGTAGAGTTGGTATTATATTGTATCTAAGTAATGCCCTTGGGGTGGGCATTTCCCTTGGGGTGGTAGGCCCGTGCAGCGCGCGGGCAATTTCTTGAAATTTTCGGAACGAACCATTGGGCCCGAGTAGTTTTCGGTTTTTCTATCTTTGCCTCGGATTTTACTTACAAATGGTTGCCCTATAAATTTAAATAATAATTTAGATGACATTCTGAATCTCTTTCAAACATCCTCTTACCGGCATTTCACATTCTAATAAGTTTATAATCTTCTGCTGCCAACAGACTCAATCATGGACACAAAACCCGTTGCTCTGATCACCGGAGCAAATCGTGGATTAGGAAGGGCTGTGGCGGAAGGTCTTGCAGAAAGACAATATCACGTCATCATCGGTTCTAGAAACGAAGCACAGGCGAAAGAAATCGAGTCTCAGATATTGGGCCGTGGATGGAGTGCTTCCTCGGTGCAGCTCGACCTCAATTCAGACGAATCCATCCACAAAGCTGTATCAATGATAATGAAGAAACATGGAAAACTGGACGTGTTAATCAATAATGCGGCAATTCTACTTGAGTACGAAGGAGTTTCAGAAGTCTCTACCAGGGCTGCTATGCTGGCAACATTCCACACAAATGTCTTTGGACCCGCTGTTTTGACTAGCGCTTGTATTCCTCTACTCCGTAAAACTGGAGCACCTCGCGTTGTGTTTGTCAGCTCACGAAAAGGTTCGATTGCGAACACTTTGGATAAGAATTGGGAATACTACGGTTGTAGCTGGCCAGCTTACAAGGCAAGTAAGGCTGCATTGAACATGTTAGCCGCAAATTACACCCAAGAGCTAGATGGATGTGGTGGCATGGTTAATGTGGTTTGTCCTGGGACAGTCTCAACACAGATGGTCAACTTTGATCCATATGGTCAAAGCCCAGAATCGGCGGCCGGGAAAGTGATAGAGATGGCTACCATCGAGAAAGGAGGACCAACAGGAACTTGGACAGATCATAGCGGGACTGTGCGTTGGTAGTTTAATGGCAGTTGTCACTAATTACGGTATCCTTGTAAATAATTACCAACCATTATATCTGACGGCCATATCAGCCTTGTGGCAGTTGTCGGGCCTGAAAATGCGGAATGTCGATTAAAAATGGAGTGTGTTGGCTCCATGCAAACCAGGCTATAAGATCCGTCCCTACGTGCCGAAAAACCCTGTGTGCCGAAAACGATCAATCGGATCGCGACGGTTAGAGAGAAGTTCATGATACTTGCGATCCGATTGGTTGTTTTTGGCACACAGGGTTTTTCGGTACGTAGGTTGATTGATTATTTATTTATTTATTTATTTATTTATTGACTCCTACTCGGTTTCAGCCGCGTGCTGCGCAGCTATGCCCGGAGTGACAGGCGTGGCAGACAGCGGACGCGGTGCGGACGTTGATCCGCGCCGCCCCACTTCATCCCTCGAGAGAGACCATCTGTCCCCAGCAACCTGCCGTCTTCCATCAACCACCATCTAAATGCTTTAGCCGGCCATCTAGATAACGGTTCACTAACTGTATGCTTTGATTCTAGGCTCGTAGAGGCTCGCTGCCTCGTCTGTCGCGTCCGCTGTACCTACAGTCTCCCCCCAGCGCTCGGCGTCGTCTACTCATCTCTGATCCCCACTTGCCCAAGGATCTGCGTCTGTTCCATATACTCGATAGCTTTAGTGGCTAGCTGCGGCGTGCTTAGAATCTTCCTAAGGCTGTTTCATCCGGATAGGTTGGCGAAAATGCGGTTCCGGAGGTCCTTATACTTGCTACAGCGGAGGAGGACGTGGGCGACGGTCTGCCGCCTCTCTCCACAGCTGCAGCGGGGGTTGGTAATGGTCGGGACGTGTCGACTGAAGAGAAAGTCGTTGAGGCCTATCTTCTCGGTTCGCAGCTGCACTAATAGCGCGCTTTCCCTTTTGCTGAGCCTCTCGTGGAGCTGCAGCACTTTCTTGGTGGGCGTCGGCGTGTGTCTGTATGTCGCGCGGCCTCTCTTGTCTTCCCTCCATGCGCTGATCCAAGCCCTTTCTGCCTGTGTCTTGCACCACCTTCTGAGCGTTGTTCTGAGTGGGTGCAGCTGCGAGGGCGGGTTTGCTGGTGGCTGGCTGCGGCCGTTCTCTCTCCATCCAGTAGCCTCCTTGGCAGCCTGGTCGGCGGCCTCGTTTCCGGGGATTCCTACATGGGCCGGTATCCATCGAACGGTCACGGTTAGTCCTTTGTCCTGGAGCTCCTGGACCTGCTGCGCGATCTCTCCGAGGATGCAGGCGCCAGATCGTCCCTCCGCCTTGGCTATAGACCATATAGCGGCCTGGTTGTCCGTGTATATGGCTATACTCTTCCGTTCACTGTACTCGTTTGCGTATCTCCGCGCGATCTGTAGTGCCAAACTGATGCCTTGCAGCTCCGCGGCGTATACTGTCGATAGGGTGCTTGGCCCCATGTGTACAGACAGTGTCTGCTGTGTGAGTGGGCATACCGCTGCGGAGCCAATCTCGCCGTCGATGCCGCTGCCATCGGTGTAGATGCTAAGGCTGTTGGCTGCTGCACACTCTGCATCGTGGCGGTCTCGGGCCTTGTCTGCATTGCCGTCGATGTGGGTGTGCGGTCCTCGCTGCCATGGGGGCGTGATAAATGGCGGGATATGCTCTTGCTTGTCTAAATCACGCACTTGCTTGCTCCTCAGTGCCTCGTATACCTTCTGCCAAGGACTCTTGTGTGCCCTGTAGTTCTTGTCAGTGGCTACTAGCGCCAGTTCTCTCGGCTCAAAGCCTGCGGTTTTCGCGATGTCCCTAGACGAGGACAGTCGAGTAGTTAACTACGTCTGCGTTGTGCTTCCAGATCTGCTGTTCGATTGGAAGGAGAAACGTTTCTACGTCAAGTGCTGCCCTTGAGGTTGCTCTGTAGGCTCCGCATATACTTCTCGCTGCTCTTGCTTGGATGCTGCGCAGGGCATCTATCGTCTTGTGTGTGTAGGCGCGCTTCTTGTCGTTGAGGTTGGCGTTGGACCAGATCGAGCAAGCGTACAGCATTTGTGGGAGTGCGATGGCTTCGTACAGTCTGCGCATGTCTTGCATACGGACGCCCCAAGTGGAGCTGCCGAGGCTACTCAGCATGTGTACTGTACGTGTTGCCTTCTGTCTGATCGTCTCTACTTGCTCTCTCCACTTCAGTTTATTGTCCAGGGTTAGCCCGAGGTACTTGCATGTTGGGGACGGCTTTATCTCGCCCCACTCTGTCTGGATAGGCGCATCGACGTTGATGCGTTTGCGTGATCTTGTAAAGTGAGTTAGCTGGAATTTGTCGGGAGCAAAGACAGATGCGTGTGTCGATGCCCAACGCTGTGCTTTCTCTAGTACTGTGCCCAGCACTTCGCACGTTCGTTCTGTAGTCTTGCCCCAGGCAAGGATAGCAACATCGTCAATATACCCTACTGACATAGCGTCCGCCTGCTCGTTGCACTGCTCGATTAGGTCTGCGTTGTAGAAGAGATAGAGTATAGGGGAGAGTGGCGAGCCCTGGGGGGATGCCTGTGTTTATCTCGTAGTCTTTGGTTTTATACCCGTCGACTAAAATGCAGGTGTGTCTATCGCTTAGAAAGCTTGCTATCCAGCGCACTATCCTTTCGTCGACCTTGCGTTTTCGTAGGTTGTGGAGCAGCCGCTTGTGAGACACGTTGTCGAAGGCTCCAGTCACGTCTAGCAGCAAGAGACTGGCTACCTGGCTGTCTTTTCCGCTGTTCCACCTTTCATAGATCTTCGCCGTAATAGCGTGTAGTGCGTGCTCTGTGGATCGGTGCTTCCTTCCCCCCATGCGGGTCAGCGGTAGCACGTGGTGGGTTTCTACTAAGTAGCTCAGTCTCCGGGCTATCACTGCATCCATAACTTTGCCAATAGTGTTGAGCAGCGCGATGGGACGGTATGCCTTAGGTACTGCGTAGTTGGTCTTGCCAGGTTTGCGGAGGACAGCTGTGATGGACGCTCGAAATGAGTTTGGGCAGTATCCTAGTCTCAGGCTCTGGTTAAAGATCCTCATTAGATGGACTGCTATTAGGTCGATCCCGGCTTGCAGCGCCTTGTTCGTGATCCTGTCCGGACCTGGGGCTTTGAGGGGCGATGCTGCTCGAATGGCTGTCCGTACCTCCTTTTCTTCGATTGGTGGCATGTCAATCTGGCCTGCATATGTAGCATTCTCTATGTCTCCTAAGTCTGCTTCGGGTGGCGGTGGAAAGAAGACGTCTCGAAACAGCTCAGCCTTTTCTGCTGGGTCTTCTAGTTCACATCGGGTGTCAGGGTGCTGTATTGTTGGTGTGGATCCAATTGACTGGTCATGCCTCGTACGTGCCCACCTCGCTAGCTTCCACAGCGCGTCTGGTGACTCTGTCGCTTGCTCTATGCGGTTTCTATGTGCTTTGCGTAGGGCTTTGCTAATTGTTCTCGCTTTGTGGTTCCTTGCGGCGCGGTACGCTTCCCAGGTCTCTTCCGTGCGGTACTGACTGTGTACCCTTTTTAGTCGTTTTGTCTCAGTTAGGATTGCTCTGCATTTCTCAGTCCATCCTTCCCGCGTGTAGGTAGAGGGTTGAGTCTCCGGCACTGCCTTGTGTATCGCGTTCTGAATTGCGGCTGTCACCTCACCTGTGTATGCGTCGAGCGCTGCCTTTGTGAGCGGTCTTCGAAGCGGAGGTAAGGCGTGTCTTAGCGCTTTCGTGTACGCTTTCTCGTCTAGTCTCTTCCAATCTTTGCGCGGCTCCTTCTTGAGCTGTTGCACTGTAAGGTCTAACGTTGTGCTTATTGGCAGGTGATCTGAGTCGTGGTCTAGACCTCTATCTACTTCGCTCTTAATAACTTTGTCGATTAGTCCCGTTGTTACGAGGCAGAGATCAATCGTCGACTGCGAGCGGCCTTCTTCATATGTGGTCGTTCCTGGTGGGAGAGTGTTATGGAGTGCGCAGTCTCCTATAATGTCTATCAGGTCTTCTGACTCGAGATCGGCGACCTCTCTATTTAGCCCTCCCCATAGAGGATGGTGGAGATTGAAGTCACCAAGCAGTATTTGTTCGTCCGTATGATGTTGTCTTAACGCTTCTCGTACCTGTGGTAGTACGCTCTGTCGGTTGCTCGAGGTCTTCGGCGGGTTGTAGACGTTATGGATAACCAGTCTTTCTTGTTGTTGCTGGTCGTCTTTTGGGTCTATGATTATAGAGCAGATGTCTCTAGTTCGTTCCTTAAAGCGCCATCTTAGTTGGTCTATCTTCTTGTTGATAAAGAAACAGACTCTAGCTATTCCTCCTGTATGGCTTGTTGGGTAGCAAAGGTGGAACTTGTTCTTGGCTGGGTGATGTGTGGTTGTTGTGTATGGGTTTTTCCACGGCTTTTGAATAGCGATAATGTCGAAGTCGTAGATCCCTGGGTCACGTAGTAATGATGCCATGACCATGTCTCTTGACTTGCGTACGTTGTACTGTAATATGTTTAGTCTGTTGTGTCTATTCATGCTTCGTTGTTAGAGTCGATTTCCATGTGCTGGCTGTTGCCGCCCTGTGTTCGCCGCGTGCTGTTCCCGATTGCTTCCATAGCCCTCCGGGTGGGCATGATGTGCCTCTGTGGCCTTTGGCTGCCGCTCGCCTGTGTCGGCGGGTTTTGTTGCTCTGCTGGGTCAACAGTGGTTCCAGCGTTGGTCCTCTTCTGCCCTCGTCCGGTCTGGGATCGGTTCCTGATGACTGGTGTTGGCTGCGTCAATACAGCGGCTTGCGTGAGTCTGCTCCTTCGGGCGGCGGTTCCCGGTTCTTCTAGTGGAATCGTCCTTCCTGTCTCCGTGACCGGGTAGTAGTGTGGGCGCATGTCGTATGCAGCCTTCGCTTTCGCCCTCTCTTCTTTCCTGGTGGGGCACTGGTAGTTCCATGCTTCGTGTTCGCCTCGACAGGTGGCGCACTTCCTAGGGATGGTCCGGTCAAGCTTCGACGGGCAATCTCGACTCTCGTGTTCTTGCGCGCAGTAGCCGCATGCGATTGTTGCCTTGCACTGGGTTCCTATGTGGCCATAGTGTTGGCACTTGAAGCACTGCTTCACACGGCACTGTCGCTCGTATCGCTCGCACTGAAAGACCTCGCCCTGCCAGATTAGGCCCTCGTCGATGATCTTATTGGCGTCCTCTGGCTTGCTAAACTCTATAATAACGCTAGAGGCGGCTTTCGTGGGTGCGTTGCGTGTTAGCCATCCTATGTCCTTAATTTCTGCCTGCGGGATGAACGGCTTGTTGTCCAGTAGTAGCTGATTTCTCGTCTCTTCGAACCTAGTCATGTCGATTGTGCTAGTGCGTATGCTGTGTGCAATGATGCCGTAGGTCGTGATCCGTATGGTGGCCCTGTTGCCGACGCGGTGGACCCAATCGTCGGCGAACTGCTTTAGTGCTTCTGTATCAGTGCTGGTAGCTGTCTTGATGCTAAGGTCGCCGCTCTTTAGCTGGTTTGACGAGAGTACCTTGATGCTAGCTATATTCTCATTTCCGCTCTGCGCGATGGCGCGCTCTACGTGCGCATTGAGGTTGCGCGGGTTCATCGCCCGCAGGCTCTGTACTGTATTGGGGTCTCTGATAGTCACAACGACTTCACGCTGCGTCTGAGAAGAAGGCATTCTAGGAACTTGTGTATTCGATGTACCTGCTAGCGTCGCGCCCCTCGCTGCCATCGCAGCATAGCTGAGCGTGCCGCCTATCTGTGGTCCTGCATTTTTGATCCGTCTTGCCATCTCTAGGCTGGCTTTACCTACCTCTGCCGCCTCCTTGGCTGCTGTCTTTGCTTCCTCTCCAGCTCTTATGTTTAGTTGTACGTTTGCAGCGATTGTGTGGATAGTATCGGTTGTATTTTTGAGTTCGGTCTTAAATTCTTGTTTGACGGCGTCGAGCATTCGCGTGGTGTTGTCCGAGGTCGCTTTGGCCTCAGTTTGCAGGATGCTAAGCGCGTCGCATACCGTGCTGAGGTCGGGGGCGTGTTGTACTTTTAGTATGAATGTCAGGGTGCCATGGATAATAATCTTGACGAGGTCTGCCGGTACGGGCTGGCTTTGAGTGCGATCGATGCAAGTTAGCGCGTCCTGAAGGTAGGTGCTGAGGCGTGTAGCATGCTCGCGGAATGGTGTTGGCCATGCGGGCTGCTGAGGCCACGGTGTCGCCATGGCACGTCAGTCGCAGTGGGCGCTACGGCTGAGTGCTGGCTAGTCAATTGGCGTCAAAAGCGTCCGTTTGAGTGCGAAAAAACGACTGAATTCCAAAAATCAAGTTCTCGCTGTGTGTGGTGTTTTTCGAAGTGATTGATTGATTGATTGATTTAGTCCTACTCGGTTTCAGCCGTGTTTTCTCCGCGGCTATGCCCGGCATGGCTGGCGTAGCCAATAGCCGACGCCGCGCAGACGTTAATCCGCGCCGCCCCACGTCACTCCCTATGGGAGCCAGCTGTTCCTAGAGGCCTGCCGTTTCCCCTCCACCACTATCTACAATCTGGCTGGCACCTCATCTAGACAATGGTTCTACTTACAGTATGCTGTGCTTATAGGCTCGTGGAGGCGTGCTGCCTCGTGTTTTGCGGCCGTGATACCTACAGTCT